CATTTGTATCTGTAACAGAACAATCTGTGTGTAAATAACCACGTTGTACGAAGAGAAGAACGGAAAAAAGCCTAAGTGCTACGCACAGGCTCTGTTATAAACAGAAATCTCTTCTTGACACACCTCTGCCGACAAGCGTTTGTCAAAAAGATTTGTGAGTGTGATGGCGCCCCGTACGGTCGACACTGCTCTTTGCTGCTCTCTTTGCTTTTATTTTTACTTTTTAACTGTGCATCTGGCTGTTCCTACACCCGTGAGGAACTTATGAACATCCGACCCACCGTTCCCATGGACCTAATGCCTGTTTTCTTGGCATTTGCAGCTGATTAAGTCCATGTTCTAGCCAAAAAAGTGTGGGCCCGTAAAAGGAAAGCACGGAGGGCTGCTCGTGCGTCTTAGGAGAAGAGGAGCGCGCACGGCTCTCCCCTGCATTTTTCTCTCCAACGTACGCTCACTGGGCAATAAGATGGACGAACTCAGCCTGCTCATGAGAAGAAACAAGGACTTCGCCTCATCCTGTGTCCTCTGCTTCACTGAGACCTGGCTAAATGAGCGGATCCCGGACAGTGCTCTGGAACTGCAGGGTTTTGAGCTGTTCCGCGTGGATCGCCATTGTGCGCTATCAGGAAAGAGCAGAGGCGGTAGATTCTGTTTCTACGTCAATACAAACTGGTGTAACGATGTGACTGATCTCCAAGCACTGTTCTCCTGCTCTGGAATATCTTTTCATACATTGTAAACCGTTTTACTCCCCTCGCAACTTTGTTTCATTCATTCTTGCCTCTGTTTACATACTGCCATGCGCGGACGCGCACGAGGCTCAGCGTGCACTCGCAGAGCAAGTACTGTGTATGGAGCGTTTATACCCGGACTCTGATTATTATCCTGGGGGATTTTAATAAGGGAAACTTGAGCCAGCAATTACCCAAATACAGACAGTTTATCAAATGCCTGACCAGAGAGGAAAACACTCTGGATCACTGCTACACCTCTGTGCGCGGAGCTTTTCGCGCTGTTCCCAAAGCAGCCCTCGGCTTCTCAGATCACTCCACTATACATCTGATCCCTGCTTACAGACAAGAGACTAAAGCTCGCGAAACTTGTAGTGAGGAGCTCCAAAGTGTGGTTTGATGAAGCTGTGGAAGAGCTGCGCGCATGCAGACTGGGACCTTTTCAGAGCTGCCACAGATAGTGGATGAATACACGGACACTGTGACGTCATACATTCACTTCTGCGAGGATAGCATCATTCCAACAAGGACCAGGGTCATCTATAACAACGACAAACCCTGGTTCACTGCTAAACTACAAAGCAGCTAAATATCAGTTCAGGGACGAACTGAAAGCAGCCAAGTAACGACACAGAGAACGACTACAGGGTATCAATGATACTGCTTCTGTCTGGAGGGGCCTACGGGAGATCACCAACTACAAGCCCCCCCCCTGTGCTGACGACCACAAGCTAGCTGACGAACTGATCTTTTTTTTCAGTCGCTTTGATGCTGCCCCCGACACCTCCTCCACCCCCCACTACTCTAACGACCAACCCATCAGCCCTGCCCCCAGCCTGACAATAGCCTCTAAAGATATTAAACAACTCTTCTTGAGGCTGCAACCCCGCAAAGCTCCTGGCCCGGACCACGTGTCTCCGGCCACTCAGAGGAGTAAGCTCACTGGCGCAGTGTCTCAGACACTTCACTGACATTTTCAACTCCTCTCTGCAGTCCTGCCATGTCCCGGCCTGCTTCAAATCCTCCATCATTTTCCCCGTCCCGAAGAAGACCAGGATCACAGGACTCAACGACTACAGACCGGTAGCACTTACGTCTGTCGTCATGAAGTCATTTAAACGCCTGGTCCTCTCCCATCTCAAGTCCTTCACCTCCCCCCTCCTGGACCCCCTGCAGTTCGCCTACAGAGCCAACAGATCTGTAGACGACGCCATTAACCTGGCCCTCCACTACATCCTACAGCACCTGGACTCCCCGGGGACCTACGCCAGGGTCCTGTTGGTGGAATTCAGCTCTGCCTTCAACACGATCCTGCCATCCCTGCTCCAGGACAAGCTCTCCCAGCTCAACATGCCCATTTCCACCCGCAGGTGGATCACTGACTTCCTGACGGACAGGAAGCAGCGAGTGTGTCTGGGGAAGAATGTCTCGGATTATAAATACAGGAGCCCCAAAGGCCGACCATCAGCTCCCTCATCAAGAAGGCCCAGCAGAGGATGTACTTCCTGCGGCAGCTCAGGAAAGCCAAGCTGCCTGCACAGATGTTGGTGCAGTTCTACACGGCCATCATCAAGTCCATCCTCACCTCCTCCATCACTGTGTGATTCGCTGGAGTCAGGGACAAACAGACTACAGCGCATCGTGCGCTCTGCATAGGAAGTGATCGGCCGCAGCCTTCCATTGCTGCAGGCCCTGTACGTCGCCCGAGCTCGAGGCCGGGCTGGTCGTATCACAGCCGACCCCTCTCACCCTGCACATGGACTATTCCAACCACTCCCCTCAGGCAGGAGACTGCGGTCCATCAGGACTAGAACCTCCCGCCATAAGAACAGTTTTTTCCCCTCTGCTGTTGGACTCTTGAACACTTCTTAACCTGCCCCCCCGCCCTTTATACAGTCACTTTACTGCCCATCATACGTCACTTTACTTCACTGTACTGCTGTCACCTTACATTGTGTGCACCATGTGCACTTGTATATTGTAAATAGTAACTAACTATTTTAAATTAAAAAGTCTGTGACTTCCTGTTACTTACGTGGCAATAAAAATTATTCTGATTCTGATGTGGTTGTTCTAGCAGTACACCAGCAGATGGTGCTGTTGTAGCTGGTTATTACCTACACGTAAGCAAACCAGCAGAGTTTGTGGCACTAAAGTGTAGATGTAAAGAAAACCGAAGAATTTAAAGAGCGTCTAAAACACCAAATCAACTTTTTTTAACTCATAAACTGCATAAGTATGTTTATTGTAGTGCTGTCTACATATCCTGGTCATTCTTTTGACATTTTAGTTCAAATTAGATAAAATATCACTTTTGAGCCAAAAAACGCTGTGTGGTGCCCTCTCAACCTTTTTGGTGGTACTACATTTGAATTTGGTTCTGGCCTCTCCATTGACTCTGAAGTTCTCTATGACATCAGTTGTTTTGTGTGACGTCAGTCTGTCAGAGCCAGTGATGTGAACCCATTCAACTCTCACACACGCCCCAGCTGCAGTTTGGAGTATTCTGGCGTCATCTAGTGGATTAAAATTAAATTACATGAGTCATTCTGAGATTATTGAGTGTGATTAGGTTCAGGTGTGTAGCTTTACAATTATCTTAGTGTGTAAACAAGGGTGGAATGAGACTTTCTGGTCTGTAAACTATTGCTTTAAGCAGCAATGACAACTGTCTGGTTTTTTTGTGTGTGACAAGTGAGCTGTCAATCACAGCCCAGACCACGCCCGACTCTAAGCCCCCCTTCTTGTCCCTTAGTCCTCCAGGCAACGCCCTTTTTAGAGAAAATGTTCAAATCTTCATGTGGGCGGAGTAAGGCTGGGCACAGGTGTTTAGTCGCTCTTTAAGAAGAAAAAAAGTTCAGGATGAGGGACACTAAAATTCCCACAAAATCCGACCTTTATGAAAGCTGTAGGTTCTCTGTCAGCTGTTTTAGTTTACATTGAGTTCTATGGGGAAAGTTTTTGTGTAGCCCACGTGAATTTAGTCTTGTCTGCAGTACGCGAGAATCCTTCAGCTCCAAGCTAGTAACACGCTATCCAGTTTTTATAATAGATCCATGTATCATACAGTGGTGTGAATGACAGGATTTTGAATATAGGAAAAAAATATAAACAGCTGCGGTAGTGTGTCTTGTCAAGGCATAGGTTTTGGTTTGTTTGCGTGTATAACCAGCTAACAGCACCATCTGCTGGTGTACTGCTAGAACAACCACATTACACTTACGAATCTTTTTGACACACGCTTGGCGGCAGAGGTGTGTCAAAAAGAGATTTGTGTGTAAAACAGAGCCTGTGCGTAGCACTTAGGCTTTTTTCCGTTCTTCTCTTTGTACAACGTGGTTATTTACACACAGATTGTTCTGTTACAGAGACAAATGTCAAATTACACACACACAAATCTGTTTACGCACGCACACAGTCTAAGTTGCACTTGTGAATCTGCGAAGGCAGGACTGCGTCAAAAGATTTGTGTGTAAAAAAAACCACACACAAATATTTTTACGCACACATAACTCTTTTTACGTACACACAAATCTGGTTACGCACACACAAATCTGGTAAATCTTTTTACGCACACACAAATATTATTGAAACAATAATAGCTCCATATAACCACAGCACCACTAACGCTAACCAAAACACTACTCTTGTAAGCTTGTAAAGTATCCGTTGGTGATGAAAAGAACAAGAACCTGTCCACAACTGGGAGAAAAAGAAGAGGATTTCTGTGGGCCCTTTTTACATTTGACAAAGAAGAAATACAGAGATGGCAATATGAAGCTCTGTGAAGAGGCAACACAGCCATAACATGGTTGGAAACTTCAAGGTGATTCATTTTCTCTACAGCCATCATTTAGACAAAAAAAAAAAAATGAAAAACACAAAGTGCCTACAATAAATGGTTCCTGAGACATCTACAGTTGATGTAAAATGATATTGTATAAAAACAAGATTGCACCAAAGTAAAGTAAAGTAATAGCTACCCGTATAGTTTTTTTTGCACGCAAAGTTCATGTTCTAATGTGACAATCCCAAACTACTGATCTGCCATCAAAGTCGCCCACTGCTTCCACCGCATGATATTTGGCGAAAGCGAAAAGTGCATTAGGTGTGAACGGGGCTCGTCATTTCTGTCTCTTATATGGAGTGTTTAAATCAGATGCGTTGTGATTGTGAAAGCCATTGTTGGCCTGTCAATGTATCTCAAGCACATTGTGTAGGGATCTGTGACTGTGGAAGCACAAAGGTAAGGGTACAGATGAGACTCACGTGATGCTTCGTGCCTTCATCCACCGGCTCAATATTACACTGCATCTGGAGCACCTGAGGATGAGCATAGCAAATTAGCAAATCGAAGAGATTCCAAAAATTTTCAGGCTGGAACTAAAGACCCAGAAAGTCTAAAGACCCTAAAAAGCCGTACATAGCCCCCTGCTTCTCCGGAGGCGCTACACGTCGTAGCACCCAATCTGTAGAAAACGTTTAACTCATTCATTGCCAGGCTGTTTTCAGCAGCTTTGGCTTTGAGTGCCAACATTCTAGAGGTCTCTGGAATTCTTTACTTAAGTGTTCCAGGTATTTTGATGAAAACAAGCCACCTAAAATTTTTATACTACTACTACTACCATTTCTGGGTTGGGGGGGTGGCCAGCAATGCCACCCAGTACACAAAGCACCAGCCCGACTATAAACTAATCTAATTGTATGCACCCCCACCTATGAATGGACGAGAACAGACATGTCAAACTCAGGCTAATGGGCCAAATCAGGCCCACGAGACAATTTCTAGTGGCCCCTACAATGATTTTCCATTATTATTAACTTGAAGTTAAATAGTTAGACTTTTTTGTTAAATCTAAAAAATAAACCTATTGTCTTTTCACAATAATAAGACAGACAATAATTAAACTCATCACATTGAAGTAATATCAAAATATCTTCATACTGAAAAACTATTTTATGAAGAAATCCCTTCCATTTGATTCGGCCCCTGACCAGTTTGTACTTTTTAAAATTTGGCCCCAGACCAAAATTGGTTTGACACCTCTGGACTAGAGCATGGGTCAGCAACCCCATGTATAGAAAAACTATCTCCACACCGGTAAATTTTCTCCATTTTAGGCGCCTTGGTGAGGTTGTTGTAAAAGATTTTTGTTACAATAGTAGCCACCAGGAAATGCCCTACTCCAACCCCAGTCTTTCCACAAGAAGAGACTGATGGCGCACACACGGACACACACACCTCGTGCAGTGTGGAGACAGTGCATTGAACCTTATCAAAGCCTCTGACAACCGATTTACTTCAGCAATTTTTTTTTAAAACCCTAACTCATACATTTTCTATCAATGTATGTGACAATCATCCTTGGTGCAAACATGTATGAAAAGAATGCAAGATGTTTAACTCCTGAGAAACTAAATCTTTGTTTCAGTTCAGAACAGTTGAGGTACATTTCTCATTCCACACAAAAACTGTGGTGTCCACATCTTGTAGGAATAAAATTAAGAAAAATGCATGTGCAATAGTTATAGTGAGGTCAGGGTTTTTAGTGAGCCACTATTTAAATTTATAAAATGTGGACCAAACTAAACTTGATGTCTCAAATGTTACATTGATTTAACAACAGTCTTAAAAACAAAACACAAATCAATGTTTCTCAACTACCAGCATTTGCAAAATAACCACATCTTAAAAAGACACAAATGAGCAGAACCCACTGAAACCCAATTTTAGCATGGTCTAAGATGAATCCATCCGTATACTGTTCTGTTCTTCATCTCTTTGGGACAATAATCCCAAAGGGACAAGGGACAAAGAATGATCTTTTTGTAAATGTCTTTCGTCTCTTGCTGCAGAGCACCAGTTTGGAGTCCAGTCTTCAGTTCTATTGTTAATTTTGCCGGCGGCTCAGATTCCTTTATTGAGAGACCAAAAGATGAAATCTTCGCAGCAATGTTTTCAGCCATCAGTTGACAGGATGGATGCAAATGGATCTCTGCTGGCGATAACTGCCTGTTTAGTGGCATGTAACACAATAGGGATTTTCACGTTGTGCCTTTTGCTTAAAACGGTACAATTGTGAAATAGTTTTTGTCCTAAGTAAGCCCAAACACTTTGGCTTTAATTTCAAATACAGACCTATTGTGTTAGCCAAGTCAAGTCATTACGCAGCGACTTGAGTAAAACACTTGCCATGCAAGTCTTGGCATAGGTGGCATTTGCTCAAGCATCTGAAGCATGATAGAGGGAAGTCATGTCCCTCTCCAGTCATAACTGCGTTTCTGCTGATTCTTCTCTGTTAAATGGTGAATTCAGTTGGCTTTACTCTTCATCTGGCTTGCCCAACCACAGATGAAAGACAAGTTGTTGGAAACTCCTCTCCGCTCAAATGTACATGGTCCTCACTTCCATGTGAAATTCTTTTGGCATTCTATCTTGATGCATGCGTTTGTTCCCAAGAAGTTGTTGGTCATTGTGTTGCATATCTTCTTAGTTCTGTTAGGTGCAGCATTCCAGGAAATACAGTTTGCGTTAAGGCTGTATGTTTAGTCCATTTATTAGGTATCATAGTTACACAAATGGGTTTCACACACATCACGTGTCTCACCCAAGTTATCAGATCTTGTAAATCCACTGCAAGTGTAGATACAAGATTTCTTAAGGATATTGGTCATTGACCCCCAAGTTGGAGCATTTATATTGAATTCCAGTGAATTGTGGAGGCAATTAACAATTGCCTCAGGAATTCCAAAAATACATGAGATTCCAATCATTCTATGGATCTGCAGGTCGAGAATATTTTCTTTCATGGCTCAGTTATCAGATGCAATGCATGATACTTGTGGTATAACTAAGCTGTTTAGGGTTTTGTTATCCATAGTGAGTATAATTTTGGCGAGAGTCCTTGTGAATGGTTTCTGAGCTTTAACATGAGTGTTGTGTGCCACAGTACCCCCCACTGTGTTTTAATATCAGTGGGGGTACCTGCAAGTGGAAATGACATTCGTTGGCGTTTCTTGTTGATGTTGGGTCACTGCAATGGTTTTGAGGCGCCGATAGTGATGTCCATGACGTACAGATTGTAATGCTGATTACAGGGTGTGTGTTCAACTATTCGGGATTCCGTCAGAGGCGTCACAAAGACATCAACTTTAAATCAAAATGTAAAGCCAAAATTAAATTGAACCATATAAACGTGTAACTAACCAATCAACCAATGGGCTTTACAAACACGAGTATTCAAAAAAAATAACGAGTGCAATGCCCAAACAACACCAAAAACTGATCATTTTGGTCACATGAACTGCCAGGTGAAATATTCATACACCCCTAGAACCCTCAAACCCAAACACAAAATGTGATGACAAATGGATACTTTATTGCCCCGTAGGTGAAATTCACGTGTCCATCCACACAAACAAAACACATAAATTGATCATTCTAAAAAGCTAACAAGAGTAATAATAAAAGGTAACACCACTTCAAGTCACAGCAGCAGAGGTGGACCATCTGCTGGGTGGAGCAGAACAGGTCACAGCAGCAGAGATGTTGTAGCCTCTGGGTCGAGCAGGAGAGGTCACGGCAGCAGAGGTAGGGTAGCCGCTTGGTTCGGACTATTTTCTCTGCCCTAGTCCAAAGTAAAATGCTGAATGCTTTGTTAGCATTTTTCAAAAAAGTTCCTACAGTGTATTTTTGCCTGATCCGCTTGTTTTGGACCATGAATCACATTGGTGATTCATGGTCTACTATGGTCTGGACCAGTGTAAAACCATGTTGTACTGCAGCAACAGCTCAGGTAGAAAAAAGTAAGAAAAATACTGTTTCAGAGCTACTTGGGAACTTGCTGCAGTTTCTGGCGCATTCAAAAGTAAACATCAGAGAGCGGTAGGTATTTCCATTTAGGGAACTTATAAGCCTATTTTGATATTATCCTATGTAAGTTTTAGGTAGTTCTTTAGGTCATCGACGTGTGATTATTGAGGCTTGCTCGTACCTTTCTTGTCTCCATCTCCGCAGGCTCAGGGGTGGGGGTCTTCACAGATGGAGGGACTATGGGAGACTTTACAGCCTCTCGCTGAGGCTGCTGTGGACAGGGCATGCCGAAGGCCGTTAGTGGATAGATGCCATTCCTGAACACACCATAAACCATTAAGTAATTACATTATTTTCTTTTACAAACTTAATGAGACTGTTAAACAAAAAGAAAATTGTAGATCATATTATATCACTCTCAAAAATAGTGTCAGGTTACATTAAATCAAAACCTCAGTAAATCTAAGTAAGTCATCTTCATTTATATAGCACATTTTACACACCAAGGTCACCCAAAGCATGTTCCAATGTTGAGAGTTCAGATATTGTTTCATTCTCTCCACACGGTGATAACAGAAGCGAGGCGGCGAACACACTGGCACATCAAAGCCAAACACCATACATTCACTCATTACATTCATACCCAAATCAAAATGTTCTTAACATTTGCCCCGTGTGTTTCAATTTCAATTTTGAGCAGCAAGGTGGTAGTGCGTTGATGAGTTTTCAAGTAATAGGTGGTCATCAAAGACTGAATTGAAAGGTTCATATTCTAGCACTAGCATATGAACCTAGTGCTAGTGTTGGAAAAGTGGTTTGCAGACTCGAACATGTCATCAAGGTGTCAATGATAAAATGGTTCAACCACTAATACACGTGGACACACTTCCAGCTCTTGTACAGTGCGGTCGCATTCTCTCGCTGCTCCGCGCTTGCTGCTTTTTAATCTCCTTTAGTCAATTTTATTTACACTTTTTTTGACAAAATATGGATTTCTCCTTTTACAAACTTCAATACAAGACTTGTGGAATTTAGCAACTTTAAGTATGTCTGGAGGATGGAAAAAAAGAAAACTTTGCGACTGCTGTTGGTCACTCAAACACGACCATACTAATGAAGGGAAATAGACAAAAATGGACAAAACTTAAGTCATGATGATGCCATTTCATTTCCGAAATTCAACGGGGACAATTCCTGGAACACATATGGTGCCAAGCCCAAACAAAGCAAAACTAATAACAGGAGTGTAATATTGCCACAGCAAAAACCTTTAAAAACAAGAAATCGCTTTTCACCGCTATTGGAAGCAGAAACAGGGGCAGCGAACTCAGTCAAGGTCAAATGTCGCTGAAACACTCCTTATTGGTGATTGCGCCATCAGGAATGTAAACATTGGTGGTATGAGGACATTTTCAGTACACTCTGCAAAAGTGGACGAGATAAGAGCTATCAGAAAACCACAGTGTGAAAAGATTATTGATCCACGTGGGGGCAGTAGATATGAGTGAAAAGTTGAAACAGGATTTTTCCATACTATTGGACGACACTGCAAAAATTGATTTAAACATTGTTATAAGTGGACCACTACCAAATGTGGATGGAAAGCAAATGAAATTGAGTCGTCTGTATCAGCTAAATACGTTTCTACTCGAGTGTTCACGCAGAGGACTTGCCTTCATTGAGAACTTTAATCTGTTCTAGAATAGGCACGAGCTTTTTGAAGGAAAAGGGCCACATTTATACACTTACGGAGTAAAAGTGTTGATGGATAACCTTGCTTTTGCCCTGTGACCTCACCCTTCGCAGCGGGTACAGCCATCGGAAGGGAGGAAGAAGCAAAGTACTTCTCCGGCAACAACACAACCATGTAAGTAAGTAGTAGTAAGTAATCTTTATTTACAGTGCCTTGCGAAAGTATGGGAGAGTCTGTCCATAGGACAACAATCAGTCGTGCACTGCACAAATCTGGCCTTTATGGAAGAGTGGCCATTTCTCAAAGATATCCATAAAAAGTCTCGTTTAAAGTTTGCCACAAGCCACCTGGGAGACACACCAAACATGTGGAAGAAGGGGCTCTGGTCAGGTGAAACCAAAATCAAACTTTTTGGCCACAATGCAAAACGATATGTTTGGCGTAAAAGCAACACAGCTCATCACCCTGAACACACCATCCCCACCTCAGCTGTAGTCATCTGCAGTTCATCCAGAGTGATCATGGGCCTCTTGTCTGCATCTCTGATCAGTCTTCTCCTTGTTTGAGATTAAAGTTTGGAGGGACGGCCGGGTCTTGGTAGATTTGCAGTGGTCTGATACTCCTTCCATTTCAATATAATTGCTTGCACAGTGCTTCTTGAGATGTTAAAAGCTTGGGAAATATTTTTTTATCCAAATCCGGCTTTAAACTTCTCCACAACAGTATCTCGGACCTGCCTGGTGTGTTCCTTTGTCTTCATGGTTCTCTCTGCGCTTTAAACAGAACCCTGAGACTATCAAAGAGCAGGTGCATTTATATGGAGACTTGATTACACACAGGTGCATTCTATTTATCATCATCAGTCATTTAGGACAACATTGGATCATTCAAAGATCCTCACTGAACTTCTGGAGTGAGTTTGCTGCACTGAAAGTAAAGGGGCAGAATAATATTGCACGCCCCACTTTTCAGTTTTTTATTTGTTAAAAAAGTTTAAATCATCCAACAAATTTTATTCCACTTCACGATTGTGTCCCACTTGTTGCTGATTCATGACAAAAAATATTTTTTTTATATGTTTATGTTTGAAGCCTGAAATATGGCGAAATGTTGAAAGGTTCAAGGGGGCCAAATACTTTCGCAAGGCACTGTATATACCGCCTTTCACAGACCAGGGTCACAAAGTGGTTTACAATTGTTATTTTTGGGCATTTGTCCTCTCACTCCACACAGATGGGAGTGGGGTCGCCAGTACAGCAAGTGCATGCCAGACCTATTGTAAATATTTTTAGTGGTAGGGGAAACCGGAGTACCCTGAGGAAACCTACGCAGACACGGGGAGAACATGCAAACTCCACTCCACCCTGGTCCAACCGGGATTCGAACCCAGGACCTTCTTGCTGAGAGGCGAGAGTGCTATCCACTCAGCCACCCATCTCAACACCTCTTTTGTCATCAGCAGCAGCTGCTGCATCATCACCAGTAGCAGCACCACCACCACTACCGTCATCCCTAGCCCGATCGGAAGCAGTCACGTCTTCTCCACCTACAGCTCCTCTGAAGCCCCCCATCATCACCCCAGGCTACAGCAGACAGGTCTGCGCTGGGATTTCCTCAGCCACCTTCCCCCTCCAACAAAGACTCCCTCGTCACCTCCCATGGACCTGTCTTGGGTCCGCCCTGCCACGTCCACTCCATCAAGAGAAAATGGGGACACTTCCCTTTGTTTTCCATCCCCGCCTTCACTATTAGACTTACCTGAACACTCTGCAGGCAGCAATGAAGGCTATTCTCTCACACCCATATTAGCTTGATCTAGAGTCCTGTGCAACATTCAAAACTAGTCCCCATATGTACCTCCAAAGCCACCTAGGATATCCAATTCTCCTGATTCAACCATAAAAAAACAACCTCAGCCCGTCGCTCCCCAAACATAACCATTCCACCCCCACTTCCCTCTCGTCCAACACCCAACAACCGTCCACCTCTCCATCCTCCTCCCCCGCTTTGCCCTTCCCTTCTTATCTCTAAACACAAGGATGCACAGGGTCTCTGCTTCACAGCCACTGGCAGCCTAGTTAGAGGAGAGACCCAGCTGGGGCCCTGTCCTACAGCCCACCTGTGCCATTCCCTCTTTGATAACACAAAGAATACATAACAAAGACATCTGGAGTTAGTCAGTCTAATCGGGCAAATCTCATTCTTGTTCCGTGGAAGAATCAGCCGACGCAATCGCTGACACTTAATATCAGATCCCTTTGTAACAAGTATTTTTTAATAAATAATTTTATTTGTTCTCATAATCTTGACTATTTCATGGCTAAAACATGGCATGACCATAAAACAGGAAATGCAGTTTTTATTGAAGCATCACCACCAAATTTTTAATTTGAATCTAAAATATGGGAAAACAAAAAGGGAGAAAGCATAGCTGCAATTTGCAACCACTTTGTCTCCCATAGAATGTCTCTTGGGAAGTTATCGTCATTTGACTATGTGTCTTTAAAATAGAACAAAAACCATTTCCTCCAATACTCTTTGTCCTATACAAGCCACCACAGTCATGTCACAGTAAAATTGATAATATTTCATGTGGATAAGGTTAACGACAGAAATGTAAAAGAGCTGAGTTCTGTACTTGAATATTTCAAATGTAAACGTAGTTTATGTTGCTTTGTCGGATCATCACTAACAAACCACCAATGGACTCTGCAATTGTTCGAAGAGGACGCGTAAATGAGAATGCGGGTAAACTATTTGAGAATGATAAACTTTAAGAATGTATTGTGTTCTACTGTAGATGAACTGTTTAACTTGTCACCTCTAGTGTTTTGAATGTTCTGGACACCATACTCAGTTGTTACTTATTAATATATTAGATTCTAATATATATATATTTGAGTTTGAAAATCAGGTGTGTCCAGTCTCCACAAACAAAATCACCAGTATTTCATCCAGTATTTAATACATTTTTTAGCATATAAAATTCTATATTAAAGAGACACCATGCTTTTAAAATGCAGATTGAACTGAACAAATTCTTCTCCAAAAATGAAATTAAATAAACAGGTGGAACTCTTTGGCTGGTTAAAGACTTAATGCATGCTTACTAGTCATGATAAAAATATAAAGAAAGAGACAAATGCTGTCACATACATTATTAGAAAAACATTCATTTAAAATGTAAAAAACTCACAAATGTTGAAATCAAAGTCTGTAGCAGTTAGATATGGTCGTTATTTATAGTGTGAGAGTTTAGTGCGTGTACATGGCTTCGGTAAAAGCTATTGCTTGTTTACAAAGCTGGTCTTAACATTTGTTGACGCTCCTTAAGCGCTTTTCTCGGCGCTTGCAGCAAGGCATTTCTTTGCATTAAAGCAGCGCATTGGATTTGAACAATCTATGTAAATGTGTTAAACAAAAGTAATTGTGCAAAAACGATCAAAGTAGCTTTCTTAAGCTATTGACCGCGGAAGTCCGAATCTGACGCTAACTTTAGCAAACTTCTACCGTGATGATGCTGCGGGCCACGCTGGTGCTTGTCAACATTAAGCCCATGGATGTGATCTGGGCTAATGCTGCTGGGCTAATGCTGCTGGGCTAATGCCGGTTGTTTTGGTGATTTCTCCTGGCGTCAGAGCCTGCGCTAGCTTGAGCCAATCTGCGCCGGGTTAACCTCAAGTCCCACCAGAGTAACTAGCATGGAGGAGGGACTCCGTTGGGCCCGGTGCAATTTGATGACATAATGACCTATCGCAATATGCCGGTATAACAAAAATTGTTATTGTTGGCCAAATTTTTATTGCATACCGCTTATACAGCCCAGCCCTATACTGGACTCAGTCTTAAATATTAATAGCCACATCAAATCAGTAACATCAGCAGCTTTTTGAATTGTGTTATACAAATAAACTTGCCTTGACTTGCTTATAGGTTCACACTGAGCATGTGCTTACCTCACATCTTCTAGAAACTTGTCCAATTCAAGTGCAGGAAACTGGGAGAGGCTGAGAGTAATCACAAGTTATTCAAGCTGTCACAATCTAAACAGTTTGGTAATCATTTACTTTACTTTACTTTACTTGCCTCATCTGGACTCCTTCCTTGGCTTCAACAATCACGAGGTTTGGATCCATGTTTTTGGTCATTTCCTCTAGTGCATTCTCAGCTATCATGTCTGAGTGAGACAAACGGTGCATATACATTGAGCTGAAAAAACCCCATCTATTTTATTGATTAAAAACAATGTATAGAATAAAGCAAAGTAATTTAGTAATTGATTAGTTACTGAATAGCATTTTTTTTCATGGCATAGTTTGTATCAACAATGAGGATTTAGTCCTACAGAGCAAATTATTTATTCTTTAGTAAATATTCTTTGTACTGGAGTAATAGATTTTTTTGTATCAAACGTGTATACACACATTAACACAAAAAACAAAAACAATAGTTCATTATTTATTACTTTTGAATACAGTTATACTCTTAATTGCTCTCACCCCTCTAACTCATATAACAATAGCGTGTTGTACTTTTTTTGTTCTTAACTCATTGACTGCCAATGACGTCTTTGTCAATTGAAAAAAAATTGTTTTTCACCCAGCGGCAAAGTCCAGTTATTGTCACAGCGCTTGCTGGACTAAACAGAACAACACTCTATAGATGTAACCACACAAACACACACAAACACGCGCATAAACGTTCATACATGCACAAGCAAACACAAAAACACACAACAGTATTCTATTGCACTTATACTATAGGTATATAGTCTGTTCAATTTGATTTATTGTCATTTATAGTGTTTGTTGTAATTTTGTTATTCTGTAATTAGCGCCACCTAATGGATGAATACTGTCCATTCTTTCTGGCATAGTTTGTCATGTACTTATTGAAATACTCGAGCAACACTTTGTGGGTGTGTGTGCCATAAAAGGTATTATTTTACATCAAAACACTTTCTCATAACTTGTTGCTGTTTTCCAACATGTAAGATACTGTACATGTTTGAGGAGAAGCTAAAAAATTAAATTGTGTTAAAAATCACTTTTCTGCCTGATTCGTCTGTTTTCACATTTTCTCAACTTTTTGTCTAAGACTGGTGCTTTCTGTCACACTCCTTTCTTTTTGACTGGTGATTACAGGAGAACGAAGCAAGCTAGAAACAAAATTATTTTTGCTGCTGAAAGTAGACAGTCCAATCTTTCAGACTCAGGTTTCATATTTCTCATAGTCATAGCACGCAATATTCTGTGAGTCTTGAAAATCAGTTAAGTCAAAAATGGCTTGCAGTCGATGAGTTAACCCTTTAGGCGCCAGAGTTTTTTCAAGATTTCAAAAGGCTATAACTTTAAAATGGTTTGAGATAAAGGCATACTGTAAATTAGAAATATCTTCAGTTTGAACCAAACTTTGGGATGGAAGTTGATTCGTCGTCTAATTTGCATATTGTTACGTCATCAAGGTGGCGGCCATTTTGGAAAATGTTAATTATTGTATAAAGATTTCAAAAAGCTGTAGCTTGGGAGTTTTTTTTAGATCAGGGAATACTATAAACAGTCAATGTGTAATATCTTTAGTATGAAATGATTTTGGGATCGAAATAAATTCCCTGATCCAGATTATAGATAATGTTTTAGCACTGGTTCGCGGCCATATGGAATTGTATTATTTTCAAAGACCTTCAGTGATCAAGACAGCACTCTTTATAGTTTACAGTCATGAAATCTGGAGATTGGTTTCAATATTTCCCTTTCAAAGAAGTGGTGGGCTTACTATTTTTCTCAGTGGAAATGAGGCTCCAGGATTTATCGTTTAGAAACAGAGAGATGAAATGAATGGGCACAGAACATGTCAGATCGTCTCAACAAGAAACAACAGGCTCTTCAACACTTCTGATCCACTTTTGTGGATTATTTTCTCTCAAGAACTGCCTTCATCCTCATCACCGCTGTTGGTAAAGGCAGTGAACGTGATTAGCGATGTGTTTTTTTCCCGCGGCTTCTCCCGCGTCTCCCGTGTTCCCCGCTACTTTCTCCCACATGCCCGGTGTTATGATCCCCCTGTCCCCTCCACCACGGCCCCTGCTTGGCGTTCACAGAATGCTTCTACCGCGGCCACACGGAGGACAAGCAGCCGCTGCACAGGGGCTGATTGTGGACTATGGAGCGGTCTCCCCGTCACCAATAAAGTCCGTGTCTGCGTCACTGGACACCTGCGGGTCTTCCTCCTCTGAATCTGAGTCAGCCAGTACCAGACCAAGTACTTCTCTGGTACTGAAGACCTCGTGAGTAGAATAGAAAACACTCTTTCCCTCTGCTCTGCTCTCGCAGGTTCTAGGTGTTTTACGAACTCAATTTACGCTAAAACTTTCAATATAACCACACCCACAAATGCTGCTCATATTACAGGCACACATGTCCACTGACCCCTGGTGAAAAGTATTAACAAGATTCTGCACCACATTTTTACATACAGCCTGTTTAAGTGAGCAATGTTGCTTGTCGCAATATTGCGACTTTGGCGCTTAAAGGGTTAAGGCTAAATATTTATCTTACTAACAGAGCTATTTGAGAGTAATTTCTTTGCAGAGTAGAAAATAAAGGTTTAAAAAATATATATACATTTCCCTTACATTTTTTAAACTTATCAGTGTGTCTGTGAGAGTCTTACGTTGGTGGCCCACGATGCAATGTGCTGCCAGGAGTTTCAGTAAGGGCACTTCGAACAGTGCAGGGTGGAAGAGCAGCTCTTGGGCTGTTGGTCTCCTGCAAGGGTCCACTTCAAGACATTTCTGGATGAACTCCTACACGCGCACGCACACACACACACACACACAATTGGTTTCCAAGTCTTACCAAACATTATTAATAAATTAAAAAATCTTGTATTTTTGTCTCATTTCTAAGATGTGGTCAAAATCCACCCATATAATAGATATTCATTGTCCCGAGGGAAATTCATTTCTACAGACACCGTCACATACACAGAATGAGAAGGAAGGGAGTTACGATACACAAACACGGAAAGAAACTGAGTTTTTCCCGCTATCTCTCCAACAAACATACCAAGATGAGCATGACAAAGTTTCAGCAGATCAAGTTTTCATAAGTTTGATTTAGACATTTCATGATCAATTCATGCATTAGTTTCAAATGATCAAAATATCAAACTGTTCTCCCTTATAAATTAGGAGACAGCAAACCATGGTAGTAAGTGGTTATTGGTAATTTTTCTGCGCCATTCCAAAAGCTGACAGAATTCTGATTATCCTTGGTCTTAAACCAGAACATTAACTGTTTACTTAGATCTACAGATAAGAGAAATGAGAGCTTGAGCGTGTGTGTGTGTGACAGACCCGCTGCAGAGGGTCCTCCAGGCTCTGGATTGCATTGTTAATGGCCTCTTGAGAAACATATGAAGAGTCTCCATTACTTTGGATCTCCAACACAGCCATCTGAAACATAGCACTGGCTTAATGTCCAAACACACATTCTGTATGTCCCACTGGTAAAGTTTTCAGACTAGTGACTGAGTAGAGCGCAGCTCACCTCTAAAGCACACATTCCAAAGGAGTAGATATCCACAGCTGTGGTCACACTGGCAACAGCTACAGTTAAGCGGAATATAAAGAAACTGTTACACAGATGTCAGGATTCAGAAACACTTTATTGTACTTTAATGAAACAATTTAAAAAAAGTTTTCAATATAAAAAGCTGGTGTTGGTTGTTCAGCGCTGCCTAATGACAGCCGCTGTGGCACCTACCTTTTACATATGTGTGTGTATCCCAAAAGATTTTTCTTTTTACAAGACCACACAATGATGTATTTAAGTGGCATGTTCCTAATCTACCAATGAAAGTACATTAAAAGGCGCTATACCAGTTTCTGCAAGGTTTGAATGTTTAGCACCGCCTCCCAACCAGCTCACAGGCTTCTCATTTCCACTAAGCGGAGCCTTCTAGTTGTATTTGCGATCTGATGCTAACATTGGCATTAGCACAACTTAATCCATACAACAATCACTGAGGAAAATGGTACAAAAGCAACGCGGCCACTGGTCCACGTTCTGTAGCTAGCTTAGGTCCTAGATCATTAGCCTGTCCGTCCGGAGGAGCGGATCCCTTTCTCATATGGGTCTCCCTCCCTGTGGGTTTCCCTAGTGCTCCCCAAGGTTTCTCACGTTTTCCCACTGGGTTTTTTTAAGAGTTTTTCCTTGTCGATGCAGGAGGGTCTTGTTGGACAGTTAGTGTCCAACAGAAAGGATTGGTGATGATCAGGACACTTTAGCATTCTACAACATGTATGGACATTTTCTTCTGTGTGTGCTTTATATTCTTCATGTGTTTTAACTGTTGATTCTCTGACCTGTGTTGGTGATTTCAATGGTTTTGTTAAGTCCTCTGAGATGACTTCTGTTGTGACCTAGGGCTATACAAGAATAAATTGTATTGTATTGTATTGTATTGTATTGTATTGTAACGCACTGCTAACAAAATATAATACTGAAAGATTACCGCTAGTTTCGCGTCCGAATGTGGTGTGAGCATAGATGGTCTCCAGAGGATACGATGTAAGCTAGCTATGTTCACCCGGGTTTGGTTTCTTCTTTGATCATTTTCTCGCTTTAGTTCCCTCTTCTCTTCCTCACTATTGTGTCGTTCGGGCTGTTTTGCTGTGTATGCAGTTACAGCAAGAGGAGTTATAGCCAATTCGGGCGTTCTGCTCTCCCAAAATTCCATCCGATGGGCGGGGGAGCGACTGAATTTTGCGTTGCATTATGGGTAACACTTGCCTTCGCAACTTCCGGTTCTCTCTGCCCGGCGCATTTTCTCTAAATGGTTGAGTGTTTTCGTCATTTTCTGTATGCAAATACATTCCCGTCTCTAACTAGTGGCATATCGCGCAAATCATCCGTCCAATTCACATTCTTCCCTCTTAGCTGAACTTCATTCTCATTGTTACCATCTGTCACTCGCACACACAGCCGTTTTCGTTCACTCTGCTCGCTGTCATCTTCTTCTAAATCTTCATAAACACCATCCGCTCGTTGAACTAGCAACAACAATTCCTCCTTTCGTTTTCCCACACTGCAAATACCCTTTCGCTTCAACCTTTCACGCAATTCAGGCACTGTCAATCGTTTGTTGTTTTTGTGAGCCATATTCGCCATTGTATGAAAAACGGTGTCATTTTTTGATCACAGCGCCGCTCAGTGGATGAATTTTTGGGAGAGCAGAACGCCCGAATTCTGCTAACATGCTACTGTTTTTAGCAGCGCTGTAGAGGCTAGAGGACGCAGGCTCGTTCTGTGAGTGGAGCAGGATGAGCGTCCCGCTAAGGCTCTACTCAGCACTTTTATACTCTACTCAGCACTTTTATACGGCTTGAGTTTATACACATCTGAATCAATGAGCTCAAGTTATCAATTAAATTACGGATTATAATACAACTTGTATGTAGTAATAAGCATTTTTATAAACTCATTAGAAAAAAAAATCGGGTATAGCTTCTTTAAAAAAAAAATCATCTAAGTGACTAAAGTCATCCCCAATGTAGCCCTAACATGCAGCGTTGCGTTCTCTGCATGTTTCAAATAGATTGAAAACATTTCCAAAACTGCTCAATAGGGAAGAGCAGTTGGTAACATTTAGTCATATTTTCAGAATTAAGAAAAATAACAATCAATGAATATCAATTTTGGCATCAATTGAAGATATTTGACCACCACAAAATTGAATACAATTTTTGGCATGTGGAAAGATTTGGTTTATGATCATCCAAAAACTAAGTATTGTAATACAAATTGATTTTCTGTAAGAGTGGTGTTTTAATCAAAGGATTCTATCACAATTAGACATGAAATCAGCTGTATTAAACTGTGTGACCCTAATGAGAAAATCACCCATATTGTTGGCATGAGATGAATCATGATTAAACATGTTAAATTGCTCGACAGCCCTGTAAGCGTGCAGAAATAAAAATCCCTGTTACTAAACACACTTTTGTTATCCTTAAGAAATATATTTTTTGTCAAAGTCATCCATCGTAAAAGTTGTATGATTAGATGCTGTGTAAGGAGACTAGACATAAAATGTCAACTCTTGTGGTCATTGGCAGCCTCCCCCTCTTTGCCTGGGTTTCGTCCTGGATCTACAGCCACAGTCAGTATTGGATCTACATTCTGTTCGTCCATGGAAGCTGATCATCCCCCTAAATATGGGTGTCCAATATTTCTCATACTTTTCAGGATCATCGAGTGATGATCTGGGACATACAAGAACATTATTCATCCCGCAACAGATAGGACCAATGACTTGCATCTGTTTATTATTGAATTTCCTGTTTTATTATTTGTTGTTTGTGAATCCCCAACTTTGTAAATTAGGGCTATATGAAACAAATTGATACCTCCATACTCTGGAGCAAAGAAGTGAAGGCTCTTCTGCTCTTCTCTACAGGTTTTCACATGGTTGTTGATGGTGTCTGGGGCCACTGGAACAAGTGGACATAAGAATCACACCAAATCCACACACACATACACACACACAAACACACACACATACCTGATCCGATCTTGATGAGCCCATTGTGTTGGATGAAGATGGTGTCACATGTCAGGTTGCCATGGATGATGGGAGGCTCGCATGAGTGAAGGTAACTGGACAGTGGCAAAAGCAACGAGATTGAATGACACCTGGTTGCTTACAGAAAAACTTGATTTTATATATTTAACTATAGGCAGGGATTCCCCAAATAATAATGCATTGGTTTTATATAGCCCTTTTTTAGGACTCGTCCAGCCTCACATAAGGGTAATGAGAACATTAAAACTTATAGGCCTGTTAAAAAAAACGCCTTTTGGGAGATCGTTTTGTGGGGAATTCTGTGTTTCAAATATATTTAATGCTTGTCCCACTTAAGTTTGTTGAAACTTGTGGACATTGAAGTTGGACTTTCCTGATTTGATAGTCCAGAACCGGGTCATAGAATCCTAAAAACCCTGGTGGACATATGACTGTCTAGCAAAAGTTACACATTGTACAAATGACTAGCCTGGCCGTACCACACCATAGTACAAATTACATTTCGTACTAAGGTCTGGAGGTGCTCCATTGAGCTCCGTTGACAGGTGGAAGGGGTTAACTCCTTTTGCAGATTGAAATGATTGGATCTGAGTTTACCGTCACGTATCTAATGCGCCCGAGTGAGTCGTTAGCATTTAGGCCCCGTCCCAATTCTCACCCTTGCCCTTAGGTGTGAGTACCCTCACCAGCAAAGTGATTACAATCGGTTGAATTCCATCCGCCCAATCAGCGAGCGCGGGAGGCGGATGGTAGTTAGTTGTGAGTGACGTCAAGAGTTTGTGTCGAACGGGTAGGTTGTAGTTTGGCAATGGCGAAAAATGCGATAGTAAAGTAATCTGGTCTGGTTCTATCAACAAATTTAAGCCGGCGCAAGAGGAAAGTTTAGCAAATGTAATCAATGGCAAAAATTGTGGCGCTATTTCCCACGGCCTCCGTTAGTGGCAAAGGAGATGGCTAGGCAATCTCACCCTTGCCCTTAGGAGCGAACGTCACGGCACACGGCACCAATATACTCTTTAAAAACTAACTCGCACACGCTTTGGAGCTTGCTCATGTTCAGCACAAACTTGCGCGCGGGTGTTTCATGTTGTTTTCTTTCATTGTGGCGCGGCTTTGCCCGACTGCTGCTTTACCAACAGCTATCGTAATGCATCATGGGATCACCCTCGCTCGTAAGTGAGCTCCGGACCTCACTTGCGCTCAAGGGTGGTTTTTAGGGGTGTGAAGGCCCTCGCCTCTTCTTCCTAAGTATTGGGACACCCTTGCACTTCCGCGGGCACGCGCAAACTCTAGGGCAAGTGTGATTTTTAAGGGCAAGGGTGAGATTGCCTCTTACACTCTTGACGTCACCCACAACTAACTACCATCCGCCTCCCGCGCTCGCCGATTGGTCGGATGGAATTTAACCGATTGTAATCACTAACACAGGGAACAGACCCAGACGTTACATGCAGGGAAATGATAATTGAGCGGAGTGTACGGATGGCTAAAGCCAGGCTAGGTTTTAGAGGGTGATTCTTTAGTCGGCCATAGGTTATACAGGTAAGTTTTACCAGTTCTTTACTTCCAACAGAGAAATGAAGAAGGCAAAGAAAAAATTGGGACTCAGATCTTGTCTCTAAAGCAGAAGTTACCTGAGTGCCGACAGTATCTGGATGCACCAGCGTTTCCAGGCCTGAGGAAAATAAACCACAAATTATACATTCTTCATTTTGCTGCTCCTGAACTTAAAGGTCTCATATTATGCTTTTTGACTTTTCTATGGTTTAAACATGATTACAGTGCTTTTTGGCCTTCATGCACATGCCCAGAGTCGTTTTTCCACAAGCTTCCCTTAAGCTTTAGTTAGTGTGATCTTTCTCTTTCATTCTCAAGAGGCTCAGAAACAAGCCATTTCAAATCGTGACGTGGCACAATCTGTGACGTCAAATGCCCATCTCCGACAGGTGATTGACAGCGGGGAGAAACTGAACCAGCGAATCAGCGCTGTCTATGGTCAGCCCATGCAGTCCCTCTCCAAGTCCAGCGTGTGGTCCATAGACAGTAAATATGCGTCTATGCTTTTTTCTTCATGTCAACTTTGAGAAAATGTGTTGTTGGTGTAAATATGTAACAAGAGTATACAATTTCTGCTCTAAAATCAAACCTTGAGCAGTAAATATTTCATAAAAAAGGAAGGAAATCGGATGCACCATTTACCTTTTCGTTCATTGTTTTGTGGTTTTTCTTGGTTTTTTTCAAGAACTGCTTCAGACTTCCAGATGACATGTACTCTGTGATAAAGATGACCTGTCAACAGAAGTGATAAGGAGCATTAGATGTGTCAGTTTGCTAGTCCATGCAAATGAGCGCAGGGGAGCAGTATTACCCTGGCCCGGTTCTCTTTGACGTCGGCCCAGTACTTATGAAACTTCACAATGTTCAGATGATCCAGCTGGATCAAGTTGTCAAAGACTGCTTTCACCTTTTCCTGAACAAAAACAGTAACTTTCAAATACAAAGAGAAGGAACTACGACCGAACTGCACACCATACGTCCACTCCTAACATCACAAAAAAACAACAAAAATATTGTTCATTAAAAAGAGACTAGCCTCATTGTTTATGTGAACATTCCTCAAGCAGCAGCAGTGCTATCTCCAGGTAATGACAGTGGCAACAGATGATTTAGCTGTAATTGAAGTAACTTGTAATTGAAAACTAGCTGTTTACCCACATAAAAACAGTTTTACATAAACTGTTATAGAACCATACAGAGCCTGTCCACACTGGCTGCATAAAACAAATAAAAAACTAGAGCATAAAAATCATTGCTGGAGTCACACTAACTGACCCCCAGGACATTTACAGGTCTCAGATCCTCTGTGGGCAGTGGTGCTTACAGTATATACTTAATTGACAGGGCGACAGTAGCTCAGTTGATAAAGCATTGGCCTTTGAGCCAGAAGGTCGTGGGTTCGAGCCCACCTCAAGAATTTCACCATCGACTCCCACTCTGTCTGCTGTCGTTGTGTCCTTGGCAAGAAACTTAACCACTGGGAACATCAGATGCAACAGTGGGGCGGCTGCGGCTGTAAAGTGCCAAACTGCCATTGTGTCCTTAGGCAAGACACTTCACCCCCATTGCCTAGAATGAGTCTGGTGTGTGTGTGAATGGTTGGTGGTGGTTGGAGTGGCCGATGGCACATACTGGTTGCCTCGCTTCTGTCAGTGTGCCCCAGGGCAGCTGTGGCTACAGTAGTAGTTTATCACCACCGTGTATGGAGTGAATGAGTGTCCAAAAAAGCGCTATATAAAACCGATGCATTATTATTATTAAGATTACCATCACACAAACAGCAGCTGTGACCCCCTCCTCTCAGGCCCCAGTGTTTGGAGGGCCACTCACCTCCTGCAGTTTGAAGTTCTTCCTTTCTGAAAACATGACTTCATTCCACACCACCTCAACACCCTCTTCAGTGTCCATGGCCAAATAAGCATTATCAATCCCAGGGACGTTGCGCTGGTTTACCTGAAACAAGCAACGCCAAGTAAAACTAAATCAGCATAAATACATAGATAAAGTACAGAATCGTCCAAGGACCCACATTCATAACATGTTTTTAACTTGATTATCAAAACCCTGATTAATTTTATTATATTCATTAATTGCCCAGGCCTAGCTGAAAAGGGTAACACTATTTGTAACTAAAATTTTAGTTTAGGAAACAATTTTTTGTGTGTGATTCTCATATGACAGGACTAGGGGTGTTGATGTTGATTGTTGGGAAACTGAAGTATCTACCGGTAAGCAGGCTCGATGTCCATATGTCCCCCTCAGAGAGTTTGCCTGCCCTAGATCAGATCTGTAAACCCGTCTCCCAATGTGGAGTTCCATGTTTATTGTGGATGATTATACGTGTGCCTGTTTTAAAAGTGTACATAGTATTGACCCCCATGATTCATATTCACACATGTTGACCATATGCTTACAAGTATAAATTCTCTGTGGACAAGTATTAATGCACTGTGGACCTTTTTAGGTTAACAACTGGAGTATGAAAGAACCTTAATGCTAACTGATTTCGTAATGCACCTCCTCTCTGCGCTTCTGCCAGCGCCCACAGGGGCTCTCTTCCAGGATCTCAGACTCGTCCTCGCTCTCCTCCTCATCCTCCGTAGCAGCAGCAGCAGCAGCAGCAGCAGCAGCAGCAGCAGCAGCAGCAGCAGCCGCCGCAGCAGCAGCAGGGGCCACCACAGATACAGGGGGTGATACAGACATCGTTCCTGCTGCTACTGCTGGGACAGGCTCCGCAGCCTTCACCTCCTGGAGCAGCTCTTGAAGGGCTTTGGACTCCCCTCCAGACATGATTCTCCCTTCTCACCAAACACCAAGATTTCACCTACAAGAGCATAGAGAAGTTCAGTGTTCACATTTGTTCACAAATGCAAAATCGATACCCCTATCGATTTCTGAAGTACTTACTTTGAAGTCAATACCGACTACTGATATCAGGGGTAATTTTAGAGCGGGTATAAAATAAGACAATCTGGGGCTGTAAGAAGTGAAATCCACCTCAAGGCCTTTCTGTGTTGAATTTGCATGTTCTCCCCGCGCCTGGATAGGTGTCTACGGGTGCTACAGATTCTCCTACCACTAAAACATGTACAATAGGTCTGAGTGTAACAAGAAAGATTGTTGGTGTTTAGTAAAAAGGAACTCCTAGGAAGCTGCAATAGCTTATAGGCGGTTCCCCAAAACCAGATTCAGATTCATTTATTTGCCATTTGCAGTAAAACCACATTGGAAAATACATATAAAACAATACAATACATATAAAAGTGACAATTTATACCACTATAATACATACCTCATTCTAAACATTTTACCCATTCACAAGTCCTTAAAAGTTTCAGTGTGTACTCTTCAGTTCATTTTTGAGTAGATTGGTCTTACAAGTTACATTACTATGTGTAAGACATGTAAGTAAGTAAGTAATCTTTATTTATATACCGCCTTTCACAGACCAGAGTCACAAAGCGGTTTACAATTGTTATTTTTGAGCACAAAAGCTACATAATAATCACATCATTCAAGTGATAGTCTGGAACTCTAAGATCAGATCAGATTCAGATTAATTTATTTACCATTTGCAGTAAAACCACATTGGAATACATTAGCAAAAGTCACCAGTGTGCACAAGACAAGTAGACATAAAACAACATTAAAAGAACAGAAATAAAACAAATAAAACAGTATCAATGCAAGTGCAAAACATTAAAGTGCTCTGTTCAAACTGAAAACAGCTTGTGGAAAAAAGCTGTTAGCATGACGAGATGTCCTGCATCTCAGAGAACGATATCTTCTGCCGGAGGGAAGAAGCTGGAACATGGCCTTCCCAGGGTGGCCAGAAGAGTCGTTGATAATTCTCAGAGCTTGGTTTAAAAGTCTGGATTTATATAGAACCTCCAGAACAGGAAGCTCACAGCCCACAGTTCTCTTTGCAGATAAATGTGGGGCAGTGTGTACAAGTGTGAGATGTATCTTTCTCCAGCGTGCAGCAGCTTAGTGGGTAAAATGTATGTGCGAGCTCTTGGCAGACACGGGGGCGCGCCTTTTGGGGCGTTCAGACTGCTGCCGCTGGAACGCAGCTTCCACGCGCTATAGACGCACATTCTATAATAATTTCAGACGCTAGGGCTGTCCAGTAGTCCTGGCCTGCGGTGGCCCGTGCCGGAAGTGGCAGAAGTAGCGGGCGGGCGTCCCGAGGAAAAAGTTGAGCAATGTTTAGCTCCTGCGTGCTTCAATTTTCCACTCATGCGCCTCTGCCGCATCTCTAACGTGCAGTCCGTGCGTCTCTACCATGCAGTCAGTGCATGCGTCCCGAGACGCACATGAAGTTCCACGATCCAACGCACGTCACCATTGACTTTGCATTGAAAGTCGCCACAATGCATGATCCGGTCTGAACTGGATCAGCTTAGAGTAAACGGCGTGATCCTGAGAAATGAATGAATGAGAATGAAAGAATGAAAAGTGTGGCGTACAAGTAGGGCTGGGCAATAAAACGATAACGATATATATCGCGATAGACATGTGTTCGATATCAATAGAGAACGGGGTCGATAGAATGTTCAATAGTTTAACTAAACTCCGTCAGGAAAAACAGGAAGAAAACACCGGAAGCCGACTCATAAGCGCGCGGCATTGTGGGGGATGTAGGCAGAGGCTTCTCGACCAATAACAGCCGAGCAGGAACCGCAAAACTTTCTGGGAAATGCAAAAACACCAACAACCGCACCATGCGTAGCGTCCATGGATCTATAGCTCGTGTTTCAATGCCGTGTCAATGGTTATGCACGTACGTGCGCGGAATAACATGTGCGGCGGCAGAGGCAGTGGACAGACCCGATGTATTCGGCGAAAGCAAGAGATTAACTTTTTCCTCGGGAAGCATGTGCGGCACAGAGAGCCGCACGGAGCGGTCACGGGGACACAAGACCCTCGAAAACAGCTAAACCAGGAGCTAAACCAGGAATAAAAAACCAGGATTAAACCAGGACTAACAACGAGGGACACAGTGTGAACATATTCCTCCAGCCTCATTCCCCCGTGACTGTAAACAAGGCTGCTAAGGTTGGTTAGCCCACACGGCAAATGTATTTATTTAGGTAAAAAAAAAAAAAAAAAAACTCAATATATATCGTTATCGACCGATATGAATGACTTATATCGTGATATAGTTTTCAGCCATATCGCCCAGCCCTACGTACAAGTAGAGCGACTGGAGCAGGATACAAGTGAATGTTGATGTTTTAGCCATCAAATAAAGTGTGACTCTTGAATAACAGTTTGAAGTATTAGAATAGCACCACACTGTGACAACGAGGGTCAAAACAGACGGGAGTTATCCCCGTAGGAAAAGGATCTCTTCGGCCCTAGAGCGACAAATCTCCCCTGTGCCCCTCCTCCGCGGTCCGGGGACTCACATGAAAGGTGTAACACAAGCAAGGTAAAATGCGAAAGTATACGACTGCAGGGAGAGACGTGCGTTACACGTCACAGCGCCCGCGCAGCAGGAAGACGTAATGTGACTCACAATATCACATTCCCACCACACCTCCTCCCCATCATCGGCCGGACCAGGGCCTTTCTGAGTGGAGTTTGCATGTTCTCCCCGTGTCTGCGTAGGTTTCCTCCGGGTAGTCCGGTTTCCCCTACCACTAAAAATATGTACAATAGGTCTGGCATGCGCCTCCTGTTCGGCGACCCCGCTCCCATCTCTGTGTGGAGTGAGAGGACAAGTGCCCAAAAAAATAACAATTGTAAACCGCTTTGTGACTCTGGTCTGTGAAAGGCGGTATATAAATAAAGCTTACTTACTTACTTACTTACATCAAAATGACCCCCCTCATCTGGACTTTACAACCGTGCTCAGGCCCACCACTTTCAAGCCTGCCAAAGCACATTTGCTGCAACCGTTCTTAAAGTGATAGTCTGAAACTCTAACTGAATTACACATTTTAAAAATTGTATTAAATTGACCACCTGGCCTTAAATGTTGTTACAAAAAATAAGTCATTTTATGAAATATAATATTGCGGGAAAGTCCCGCCTTACAAGCTAACTAACTATAACTCTCTGGAACTACATGAAAAGTGAACAAAGTGTTCTAAACATCAGCAGTGAGTGACCCAATTATAAACTTAATTGTAAATAGTTACTTCCAGGTTTACAGCAATTGCTTTTTGACGCATTAAAAAAGTATTTTTGTCATTAATGGAGCATTATACTGCTGCTGTGAGGAGCTGTATAATATTCAGATATTTAAATTAATAATCTCTCCTCTGCACGTCTTGAGCCGGGTTCAGACCGGATCATGCGTTGCGTCTGCTTTCAATGCAAAGTCAATGGTGACGCGCGTTCGAGCGTCAAAATATATGTGCGTCTTGGAACGCACGCACGGACTGCGCAGTAGGAGATGCACGGACTGTCGAGGGGGAGGAGCAAGAGCGGAAAGTCAATGCACGCAGGAGATAAACTTTGCTTAACGTTTCCTCTGACGTTTGTGCAGAGACCAATCAGAGAGCCGCAAAGTGGTCACAGGGACATTAGCCGACTGAGCGAGCGGACTGAACATACTGTTAACAGCCAAAACAGGAGCTACACCAGGACTAAAACCAGGCTTGACAATGGGGGACTGCGTGCTTGTGAACATATGCGTTGTAATGCTCCCGTGACTTTATGCAACTGCTTCGAGTGTGTTCGCCGATGCGGAAGTACCGTTTAATAATAAAATAAACGTATTGCGCACCTCCGTGCACACATACTACTGTTATATAAAGTCCGTGGAAGGTCTCTGAACACAGACATGCTGCAAACCTGCATTATTGAAGAAGATCTTTACACAAGAAGCCGCTAGCATAACTCTTAGCATCAGAGCCGGCCGGCTATTTCCGCCACTTCCTGCGCTGGCTAGGACGTTCTGGTATGAAGTCCTGTGCGTCAAAAAACTAGAGAATGTGCGTCTGGTGAGCAAGGCTTCAGCGTTCCAGCATTGGCGGTCTGAACACAGCTTTATGGTGCTTTCAGACCGGATCATGCGTTGCGTCGGGTTTCAATGCAAAGTCTATGGTGGCGCACGTTCGACCGTCACAACGCACGGACCTCTCGGTACGCACAAACGGACTGTTCAATAATGACGCACGGACTTGGCGGGAAAGTGAAAAGGGAGGAGCACGAGCGAAAAATCAACGCCCACAGGAGATGGATTCTGCTCATCCTTTCTTTGGGACCTTCGTGCGACAACCAATCAGAGAGCAAAAATATGCGTTGTCATGCTCCCGTGACCCTATGTAACTGCTTTGAGTGTGTTTGCCAATGCGGAAATTCCATTTAATAATATAAAAAACGTATGCCGCACCTCCGTGAACACATACTATTGTTATATAAAGCAAACGCTGAAACGCGGAAGCCCCGCTCACGAGACGCCCATTCTCTAGTTTTCAGACGCAGAGGACTTCACACCAGAACGTCCTGACACGAGCCGGAAGTAGCCGGCCGGCTCTAATACTAACAGAGCTATGCTAGCGGCTTCTTGTGTACAGATCTTCTCCAATATGCAGCTTTGCAGTGTGTCTTTGAACAGAGACCTTCCACGGGCTTTATATAACAGAAGTATGTGTTCACGGAGGTGCGCAATACATTTTTTCATATTATTAAACGGAATTTCCGCATCGGCGAACAGACTTGAAGCAGTTGCATAAGGTCACGGGAGCATGGCAACGCATATTTTCACAAGCACAGAGTCCCCCATTGTCGACACTAGGGGTGGGAACCTAAGGGTACCTCACGATACGATTCGATACACGATACAAAGCTCACGATAACGATAATATCACGATAACGATATTACGATAACGATATGACGATTATTGATATGACGATTATTGATATGACGATTATTGATATATTGGTCAGAAATATACAATATGCCAATTTATGGCATAAATAAAAGAAAAAATACTCTTTATTTCATGATAAATATAATGGAGATGCGTAATGTAGCCATATATTAAGTATTGATACCAATTCAAAAAAAAATAGCTACATATATATTTTTTTTTTTTTCCAAATCGATATCCATACTTCGCAAATGCATACCGATAATCGAATCGCGGGAGAAAGTATCGCGATATATCGTCACACCCCTAGTCGACACTGGTTTGAGTTCTGGTGAAGCCTGATGTGGGTCCTATTTTGGCTGTTTACGAGTATTTTCAGTCTGCTCGCTCAGTCCTCTAATGTCCCCGTGACCACTTTGCTGCTCTCTGATTGGTTGTCACACAAACGTCCCAAGGAAAGGATGAGCAGAATCCATCTCCTGTGGGCGTTGATTTTTCGCTCCTACTCCTCCCTTTTCACTTTCCCGCCAAGTCCGTGCGTCATTATTGAACAGTCAGTTTGTGCGTGCCGAGAGGTCCGTGCGTTGTGACGGTCGAACGCGCGCCACCATAGACTTTGCATTGAAACCCGACGCAACGCATGATCCGGTCTGAAAGCACCATTATGGATTCTGCTTATCCTTTCCTTGGGACGTTCGTGCGACAACCAATCAGAGAGCAGCAAAGTGGTCACGGGGACATTAGCGGACTGAGCGAGCAGACTGAAAATACTCGTAAACAGCCAAAACAATGGGGGACTGTGCTTGTGAATATATGCGTTGTCATGCTCCCGTGACCTTATGCAACGGCTTCGAGTGTGTTCGCCATTGCGGAAATTCCGTTTAATAATATGAAAAAACGTATGGCGCACCTCCATGAACACATACTGCTATTATATAAAGCCCGTGGAATGTCTGTGAGCAAAGACGCGCTGCAAAGCTGCATATTGGAGAAGATCTGTACACAAGAAGCCGCTAGCATAGCTCTGTTAGCATCAGAGCTAGCCGGCTACTTCCGGTACTTCCGGCTCGCATCAGGACGTTCTGGTGTGAAGTCCTCTGCATCTGAAAACTAGAGAATGCGCGTCTGGTGAGCGGGGCTTCGGCGTTTCAGCGTTGGCGGTCTGAAAGCACTATTGGACCATTGACCTGGAGCATGCAGGAAAAGTAGGCATGGCTTAAATACCAATCAGAAAGGAAGGGGGAGGGAGCTTGGGTCGTTTTTTTCAAATCATGTACCTCTCTTTTTTCTAACAAACTCCAGACTATCACTTTAAGCCCAATATTCAAATTGGTTTGATTCATTCACAATGTATTCAGGGATGTGTATAATTAACATGGAAAATTGAAATCGGAAAAATGTCTATGGAAAAAAGTGAGTAATAGTGTGAAAAACAAATTGATAAAATTAATTAATTTACAATGACAGGCCAACACCTAGCAGGCCTTAAATTTGGTAAATAAAGCTGTAAACTGCAGGTGAGGACCGGGAGTTCTCAATATAAAGAGAATAGTGCCGAGAAGCTAGCTGCTTTTGGACAGCACCCGCAAATGATACACTTACATTACTATTCTTACTAATTTTTCAACGTGTGAAATTGTGGCTGGTTGACTTACGCGTTAATTTGGAGTGGGGTGATCTTAGTTCCAGTTTCAAGACCGGTGTCAGATCAGCTGAAACTGGTCCACACAGCGGGGTAGTGTCCTGGGCCAGTCCGTCAGCGGTCACTCTTACATCTACTGGATACATGCAGGTTATTCTATACAAACATCGTATTGAGTGTGACAAAACGGGCTACGCTAGCTAGTGGTCAGCTATCAGCTCAGTAGCCCCGGACTGTAGAGCCCAGCCGCTGCGCAGCTGCGCAGCTGCCTTGGAGACTAATGAACAATCCGGGGTCACAGTATTCTCAAATACGTGTCTTGCGAATGAAGGGATAAATATAACAGACAGCAGTCGGTCTAAATGTGAAGAAACACTAAAGTGGAGGGCAGAGCTAAGGCTAACGACAAGTGAGAATGGTGACGCGCAAGCTCTTCTTCTACTTCTTCTTCTGATTTCCGGTGAGCGAGTTCTTTTTTTTTTTTTTTTTTTTGTTTTTTTTTTTTTATTCAAAATGTAAAACATTACAAACTCTCGTAGAGACAACCAATTTCAAGGCAAGGCTTAAAGAAATAATAAAAAAACAATTTAAATGAAAATACAAATTCACAAAATAGACACAAAAAAAACATATGACACACTGTTCAATGTCTTAACACAGAAGTAGATTTTCAGCAGACTGGTAGATTTGATTAGCTTTCAGATTGGTTTCTATACATATTTACTCCGCAAAGCCATATATAGAATAGACGCCGCATCTACCGCTACTGTCCATTGGCGCCGACGAGCCGTAGCGCCGCCATCTTGGACCGGTCGCCCGCTCCTCTCAGAGTATAATCTGTTTAGCAGGCGCAGTGACGAGTCAGCGCATTTAATCAATCATAACTCGCTGAATACTTCACTGATTTTCACACTTTTTTTTTTTACTGTAAACCACACACATGTAGCTATGACACAGGACACATGGTTTGGCGTATGTTAATATTCATAGTGGGTTTAACAGTAATATAATATTTCGATATATGATATATGTGATGTATGACAGGAATTTTGCATAATACACAATGTTGTATCTATACACAACTCACAAAATGTTAGGGACATTTATTCAACAAGTGAAATACTGAAACATACACACACATGTATATATATATATATATATATATATATATATATATATATATATATATATATATATATATATATATATATGTATATATATATATATATATATATATATGTATATATATATATATGTATATATATATATATATATATATATATATATATATATATATATATATATATCTAGATATATATAGATATGTATGTGTGTGTGAAATATCTATATGGTTATAATAAAAAAGAGTGACAACCATGAGTGACTAGAACAAAGCAAAGACATAGTAAGTGTTAAACACTACCACATGACACCCTCCTGTACCAAACCATATTTACACATACAAATTGTTACATGAGCTAAAACCCCTGAAAGAGGACTGTTTTGCAGAGCTTCTTTCTCGTGCTTCCTTTCTGTAGATCAAGAGAGGTGAGTTTGGCTATGTGGTGCAGCCTTATCTTCAGAAATACAGACACAGCCAATGACAACAAGTTGGAATGATGGTTGTCGATGCCATACTGTGTCTCCTCAATGTGTTCACCAAGTAGAAAAACATCCTCCGTTCCGATCTCCTCCCGGACGATGTGCGTGACTGTCGACAGCTTTGGAGCTTGCAGTGTTGAAGCTCGGCGAATCACCCTCTCTGCAGCTCTCAGCACCTTCATCGTGCCTTGTGATGGAATCACGAGGCCACCGTTGTTTTTCAGGGCTAGAAGGTGGTAGCTCTCATCAAATGATGATGGTACAGCATCTCTGACCAAGCTCGCACGGCAAACATCACAGGACAGCTTGCGCAGAATCTGCCGGACTACAAATCCTGCTATGTAGACCAGAGAATTTTCCACCAGACCTCCAAACCGAGTGGGAAGATAGCTATGGTCACACACAACAGCTGAAATGTTGGCAAATGGAGATGGGTGCTCTTCAGCAGTTTCAGCAGACGACATCTCTAATGCAGACAAGGACACAGTGTCATCTTGGGCTGCCACATTGCCTGTCTCACTAGGAGAGACACCACACCGGACCATCAGATGGCGGAAGATGGCCTGGAACTGGCGTACAGACGGATTGTTATTCCAGCCACCTTGTATGTAAAACAGGCACAAAATACACACAAGATATAACACACAAAATTATTCTTCAAGTAATTTTTCCGAATTATTGTAATTATAAGAACATCAACCCTACCTGACGCTCTAATTGAATTAAAAAGGAGCTCCAAGTGATCCTGGCTGAGCCTGTAGGTGAGGACATACCGCTGAATTTGGAGCAGTTCAGGAATCATCACCATCGAAGTGTCAATGTTAATAACAAAGCCAATGACAGACAAATATCTGCAAAAGAAAAAAAAAATGATTCTGCTGATCATGGCAAAACATTCATGTTCATTCAAAGCAGTAAAGTGAATTTTCCACCATATCCATCAGTAATGTGTAATAACCAATTCTTGAGGAAATTCTTCCTGGGAAAACTTGTGAACAAGAACACATGCAATACATACCATTTTGACACCTACATGCATTTTGTGTAATACATACCGTTTAGAAACATCTATACCTGAGACACACTGAATATAGGATAATTAAAATAGAAACAAAACTGCAGATTGAAATACATTGAAGCAAGAGAACATAATAATAACGTACATACCATCCTACTGACACCTGCAAAAACTTGATGTGGTGTAATACATACCATTTAGAAGCATGTGGGACCTGAAACACACTGAATACAAGACAATTCCAACAAAAAACAGTTGCAACTGAACATTGAAAAAAAATTAAATAAATGAGCATCATGTTTGCATACTTACTGGTATGACACAACTTGTGTGGGGCTGAATAACTAGTACAAAACAATTTGAAGAGACAAAAAGGCGCGATTTCCACCCGCGGATACAAAAACCACACATGCAGCTAGTGGAGGACTATGACCTATTCCATTTACTAGTAATGATTTTCCGTTTTTCTGTTAGATTTGAACATTTGTTAAGTTATTTAGTATGCGCAGCTAGTGGAGGACTATGATCCTGACCTGATTTGGAGTCAATAGGTCACATGACCTGGAAGCTATTGAGCTAAAATGCTAATATTTACATATAAAAATTCATTAAAAATACTTAAAACATTTTAATGATAAAAGAAGAGGTGTACCCCCTGCAGCTAGTGGAGGACTATGATCCTGACCTGATTTGGAGTCAATAGGTCACATGACCTGGAAGCTATTGAGCTAAAATGCTAATATTTACATATAAAAATTCATTAAAAATACTTAAAACATTTTAATGATAAAAGAAGAGGTGTACCCCCTGCAGCTAGTGGAGGACTATGATCCTGACCTGATTTGGAGTCAATAGGTCACATGACCTGGAAGCTATTGAGCTAAAATGCTAATATTTGCCTTTAGAAATTCATTAAAAATACTTAAAAATACTTAAATGACAAAAAAAGAGGTGTACCCCCTGCAGCTAGTGGAGGACTATGATCCTGACCTGATTTGGAGTCAATAGGTCACATGACCTGGAAGCTATTGAGCTAAAATGCTAATATTTGCCTTTAAAAATTCATTAAAAATACTTAAAACATTTTAATGATAAAAGAAGAGGTGTACCCCCTGCAGCTAGTCGAGGACTATGATCCTGACCTGATTTGGAGTCAATAGGTCACATGACCTGGAAGCTATTGAGCTAAAATGCTAATATTTGCCTTTAGAAATTCATTAAAAATACTTAAAAATACTTAAATGACAAAAAAGAGGTGTACCCCCTGCAGCTAGTGGAGGACTATGATCCTGACCTGATTTGGAGTCAATAGGTCACATGACCTGGAAGCTATTGAGCTAAAATGCTAATATTTACATATAAAAATTCATTAAAAATACTTAAAACATTTTAATGATAAAAGAAGAGGTGTACCCCCTGCAGCTAGTGGAGGACTATGATCCTGACCTGATTTGGAGTCAATAGGTCACATGACCTGGAAGCTATTGAGCTAAAATGCTAATATTTGCTTTTAAAAATTCATTAAAAATACTTAAAACATTTTAATGATAAAAGAAGAGGTGTACCCCCTGCAGCTAGTCGAGGACTATGATCCTGACCTGATTTGGAGTCAATAGGTCACATGACCTGGAAGCTATTGAGCTAAAATGCTAATATTTGCCTTTAAAAATTCATTAAAAATACTTAAAACATTTTAATGATAAAAGAAGAGGTGTACCCCCTGCAGCTAGTGGAGGACTATGATCCTGACCTGATTTGGAGTCAATAGATCACATGACCTAGAAGCTATTGAGCTAAAATGCTAATATTTGCCTTTAGAAATTCATTAAAAATACGTTAAAATACTTAAATGACTCAAAAAGAGGTGTACCCCCTACAACTAGGGGAGGACTATGATCCTGTCCTGATTTCGAGTCAATTGATCACATGACCTTGAAGCTATTGAGCTAAAATGCTAATATTTACATATAAAAATTCATTAAAAATACTTTTAAAAAACTTAAATGACAAAATAAGAGGTGTACCCCCTACAGCTAGGGGAGGAATATGATCCTGACTTTTAATACAGTACAGTTTTATTACATCGGTTTTAAATTTGTTGCATTGGCTTCCCGTGTGTTTCAGGATCAATTTTTAGGTTCTTTCACTGGTTTTTTTCATGTCTTCATGGTCTTGGGCCTTCTTATTACTCATAACTGCTTTTATCCAAAGAACCATCCCGGTTCTTGCAGTAGACTCCTCCATTACCAAAGCCAGGACACACATTCAAGCTGAGGCATATGTAAGTGAGTAAGTAATGTTTATTTATATAGCGCATTTTACAGACCAAGGTCACCCAAAGCGCTTTACGTCCATCACTACGGCCCCGTCTCTGGAACAGTCTGCTGGAGGAGCTTGACTAGCACCCTCCTGTCCCTCACCTCCTCCACAGAGTCCAGGGGGCTGTCCCGTTCTGTGCTGCCCGGCGCCCAGCACACGGCAGCGTAGTGTATGGCAGAGCCTACCACAGAGTCATAAAAGGTCCTG